TACAATTGATAATTAATTATATTTGCAAAGTATCAGTAAAAAAAATCTAACAAAACTTTTACTGTGAGTGTACTAAAATCAATATATAAAATTTGAAAAAAAATTTAAATTTTTATTTTATTTGGGTTTATTTGTTTATTAAAAAAGTATTTTATTTTCTATAATAATAATAATAATAATATTATTTAAAGAATTTAGTTAATTTTAGTTCAATTAATATATGTTGCATGCTGCTTATTATTTAGACTTCTTAGTTTAGATCCTAATATAATTTATTTGCCCTTTTGTTGATCTATTAAATAAAACTAACTAAAAATTTAAATATAACTTGTTTTATTTTTAATTATACTTTTATAATTTTTATTTATTTAAAGTTCATCTTAATTTCGTCAAATTCATTTTAATAATATTGAAAACAAAAATTAGAATAAAATATGTATTAATATTTGAGGTTTGTATATTAATAAAAATATAAAATGTAATCAAATTCAATAAATCAAATTCCTATATAAAATTTTATGAGATAAAATATATTAAAATAACAGAACATTACTTAAAATAATAATAAATTAATATCACAATCAAATAACAAATAATTAAGTTTAAATAAATTTTAAAGGAAAAAATATGACTACGATTCCGTTGGCCTGAGCACCCCGATTTTTCAATGGATTTTAATAGAGATAGCTATTTTTAGCAACTTTTTCCACTACATCGATATATTTCGATATGGCTGAATGTTCGAGTTATCGAGTTTTAAAGTTGTTAACTTTCTACATAAGTCACACTAACAAAAATGCTATACACGCCATCTAGTGTGTGCAACTTTATATTGCACCTTTTAGATTTTAGATCAAAAAACTTATCTCGAAAACTCAGCTGCATTGTCTTATAACGCATGAAACAAATATGTTTAAAATAGTTGTTTTTACTAAAATCCATTGTCAAATATATATGCCCGGATTAATTAAAAATTATTATTGTTATAATAGAATATAGCACCCAAAAGAAACTTTCTTTATATATCAAAGCAGGACACTTTCTCAGCACTACAAGTCACATTAAAGACAACGGAGCACAGTGCTATAGAATGATAATGTTACCTGAGATGTTTTGTAACAGTGTCTGTTGTTGATCTTAAGTTCAGACAATCCTTATTTCTACTTAGTTATAATAGATAATACTACAATAATATCATAACAAACTGTTATAGAATGTTATAGATCCGGTTGGTTGGCCTAATATAGTACATTGGATTTATCTTCTTATTTTCGAATAAGTAAAAAAATATTAGTCTTTCCCTAGCCCGCTCAATCTTGTTACAAATGTTTATATTATATCGTTTTATATAACTGAACTTACTTATATAGCTAACTTACATTAACTTAAGTTAATGCTTATGTTTGTAATTTCAGGTAAGAGGCCTTAACTTATCAATTTTTCATTAATTTTTTTCTTAGTTGGATTCTATAAAAAACTGTATATTAACATGGATGATTTAGTGGGCAATGTTAAGAATTTGAAGCAAATTCATTGGAACATGGAAATTGTATAATGAAGCAGCTCTTTCTTATCCACTTTCATTCAAGTTTCTCAACTTCAACTTTTGTGAAAACACGTATATCTTTCCAAGATTGTTTAAAGCCATGTTAATACTTTAAACCAACAATGTTGTTTTTTAGTTTATCAAAATTTTTCTTTCTTTATTGGTATTATTGATTTGTTTGTTTTATCTTGGGATTTCTGAGAATTCTTTGAATAATTGATGAACCTTCAATACCACAGATTTTAATTCTACATTTCGAATTTATCCAATTCTTATCACAACACTCTATCAGTCTAAAGATTAGCTCTTAATATTAGATGGTCTTTATGCTTCATTTCCTTATATATACTCTGTAACCAGAGCCACGTATCGCTAGTTTCCGGTTACGTTAGTACTAAATCTCCAGAATGAAACTGTTAAGAAAGTCATTTAAGTTAGTCAACACAATGAATTCGATGACCTTGTTGGGCACTTTTGCGTTATGAAGTTTTGTTTAGAAAATTTTAATGCTGACTATAACACCTCTTAATTTTCCTTTTGTCTGACAGAAGAAACCCATTGGTAACGTTTAAATCACCAGCCAGGCTTAGCTCTGCAATGACAAGGTCAATGTTATTCTCACATTCGTGAGGTAGTATACTGACACGCTCGCATTTCTCACTTCTAATTGTTACTTTGAAAATCTTTTCCACCACATCTACTGATATTTCTATCGTCACGATAGAAGGATAGAAATACGACTTTTGCAATTACTAACAAATGTTATTATTTACTTCATCTGCTTTTTTTTATACGTCGGCTAGAATTTTATGTAGGTATATAGGAATAAGAGCACCTCTAGGCCACTCTAGACTTGTTTGTTTTGACTGTTATCTCTGATCGATAGTTGATTTCTCATATCTTTGCTACTGCGCATTCTTCGTAGATGAGTATTCTAAATATCTTTAGGTCTGAAAGCCTTATGAAATATAATTAAATAATATTATAACAAAATTAATGCAAGTTAAAGAAAGTTAATGTTGAATATGTAAGATTATAAATCTGAAATACCTAATACGTAAAAATTAAGAAATAAAATAATTGGAATATATGAATAATATATATATGAATATATTAAATAAATATATAAAATAAAAATTTACAGTAATTTATAAAATGATTCAAATTAAAATAATATAACGTGTAAGATATATTTAAATTTACCAATATTTGATATATTGACAATAATATGCCTTATCTGTCTTTATTAGACCGAGAGTGTATCATAAACTTCAGCTTGCAGGACTAACATTGTTTTTTATTGATTCTATTGTTATTTTTATTGCTTCTTGGATTATTAAAAGAACACTCTTAACTACGTTTTTTGTCTTTTTGATAAGTGGCTTTATTAATCTATGCGGCTTGACTATTGAATGTCACCGAAATAACTTCTTAAAACCTAGAAGACTAAAAAAAAAGTGACCAGAAAATTGCTCATGACAATTTTTCATAATTTTCTATTCCGAAATTTGGGCTGTTATCTCGTACCACACTAGTTAAGAATTTTAAGTATTTCGAAACTTAAGACTTCAAGAGGTTCGATTTATTTTATCTGTCTTAGAAGTCGAAATCAATGCAATAATACAAAATAAATGGTATTTGTAAATCACCTTCTCCCGGGACTAATTCACTTAGTGATAGTCTATCACAAAAATACAGCGGAGATCACGTACCAGTTAACAGTTTAGGATCTGGTGAACTTAAATTGGCTAATGGGTAGTCAGGAACTCTGAAATTTATTCGAATGTAAATCTTTTATTTGCGGAAAATTAACGGAAATTAGCGGAAAGTTATAAATATGCAGAGTATAGAGTTTTTTATGCGCTAACATAAAATAACAAGCTCTCTCCATCTGTGTATGTAGCCAGCGAGTATTCTAAGTTACTGCCTTAACCGTTGGCAATCATCGCATCACTGTCAGCACCATTCTTCCCTATGTAATTTTGGACTTACCTCCTCTTCTTAAACCCTGCGAATTCCGTTGTAGTGTCCTTTTTAGTTTATTTTTTTTTATTTTCGGAGCATATATCAAATTTACCTCCATTTTCTTTTTTTTTTCTATTTACATAGTCTTACTGTTCGCAAATGTTAGGTGATCTTTATTGATCCACGTTTTGCAACGATACATTATCACTAAAGTAGTTAAAATGCTCATGTTGTCAATAGTTACACTTCTCCCTTCATTCGTCGACTTTTTACAATGGATATGAGGGGAAAAAATGTACTTTTCTTAGTGTTCTTTTATATTGCACATTTTATAGCTTTGAATACTAAATACGTTTACAAACGTCCTTTTCAGTCTAACTAACTCCCAATGATAATGATTTTTTTTTCTTCTTCGGTAAAGTTATTGTACACATCGGTACTAGCTTATATAACATATATAATTTATTAACAAATTGTACTTTGATAACTGAAATTTTTCATTTTAACTATTGAATCAAAACTTACATTTGGGACTGTAGTGAGCGACTCACTCAAATTGGCCTCACATCATGCATAGTCTTCTACCTTTAATAAAAAGCAATATTATGATAAAGAATTTTAAATATCAAACACACAAAATCGTACTAACAACAACAAAATCTATTATTTACACATAAATTAGTGCTTACTTATGTGATCCACGTATGAATAATAATCCCAAATCCGGATATTCGAAGGCTTTGAATTAATCCTCTGCGTAGGGTATTTCGTTTGAATTCTTCCTGAGCGTAAATAAAATATAAAAAATAAAAAAATTTCCTGTATATATATTGTACCATAAATTTTTAATTTTTTAGCTTTTGTATTAGATAGGAGCAAGGTCTTGAAAACCGGTTTATTGTACCTTATTTTGTTCCATCGGTAAGAAACTTTTTTCTCTATTGCCTAAAGGGTATGCCCAAGATACTATATGGCCAGCAACTGTATTATTAAAAGTTGTATAATTATTCTCAAATTCATATTATGTTACACTTGTAACACAAAGAAGATAGATTATTAGATTAAAATTATTTTAAAAAATATAACATTTTTAAAATAATTTTACTATCTCTTTGTTATCTTTTCCTTTCAATTCCTTACATAAACGTTTTCAACAAATTGTTATAAATTCTTTTTCAGACTTTCTCAAATATTAAAATATATATTTTGTTCTAAAGAAAGTAAAATAAAAAAAATACAACATATATATCGTTCAAAAGGAACTTTAAAACAAATTCCTAACCTATAATTTTTATATCCTTACATATCCTTATTTAAGTATAAAAATTGAATCCAAATATATATCGTTCAAAAGGAACTTTAAAACAAATTCCTAACCTATAATTTTTATATCCTTACATATCCTTATTTAAGTATAAAAATTGAATCCAAATTGCTTAAAAACAAAATTCATTTTATTTTTCTAATTTGCACTCAAACACATATACAGAGACACTATCCCTGAGGAATCTTACCAACATGGACACTCCAAGTCCTTATGCGAACCAGACGGCGATGAGTGGAATTGCGGTGCACTCCAACCACACGAACAGTACGATGACGATATAGGCAGCGATAGTTTATTACCAGCTGGACGCCAACCACTTTTACCAAAAATTACGCCACTGCCACAAATACGACGCATGGGCGTAGGTGCAGTTGGTAGTACCGGTATTGGTGTGAATAGTGGCAGTGGTAGCGGTATTCCAAGCAGTAGCAAAAATCAAGTAACAACAGCTTTACTATCCACATCTAATTCAGATTATGACGATGATGAAGACGAAGATTTTGACTTGTACGATGATGAAAATATTGTTGTTACTACAACAACTACAGTAGCAAGCGGCAGCGGCAGTAGTGGTAGTGGCAGTGGTGTTCCTATAAACAGCAGTAATGCGGTTGGTATCAATGGTGCTAAGAATCGCAGTACCAACAGTAGCGGTGCTAGTGGCAGCAGTAACACAAGCTCAAGCGGTAGTAATACTAATACAACAACAACAATACGCCTTACGCGTAACAATGATGAAAGCATCATTTGAGACACGTGGGATCATGTGGAACAACATGAACAAGAACAAGAAGAAGAAGAAGAAGAGCAGGAGCAACAGCAACAGCAAAATTCATTACTAAATCGAAGGTTAGGAAACTGCTTTAAATATAAAATGTTTTATTAAATGTGAAAGGATATGAAATTTAAAATTGCAACTCTATTTTAAATTATTTTGAGATGTATTCTGATCTGATGTATTCTGATTTCTACTGCACCGAACTAATGTACGAACAAACAAGAACTGTAAACCGAACAATAAACCTACGCCTATGAAAACTGCATACAGTAAATTCGTAAACCCTTGCCCAACCTATGAGAGCTGAAAGCAATAGAGAAGAGAGCACAAAAAAGCGAAAATTAATACAAAATACACCGTAAAAATATTGGTAAATAATAAAAATTTAAGTAAGTTTCCACATCGTGTATAAATGCAGAAATTTTGAACAGAAAATTTTAAATTAGTTCTAAATTAAATGTAAATTAAATTTTAAATAGAATAAATTACTTAAACAACGACACAAAATTACAATTTATAAACAAATGTGCAAAATTTAATTATATATATATTTAGAAATTTTAAATACCATATCTAATTGTTTTCATATATTAAAAAGTTTTGCATAACCTAACCTCACCACGCTTCCTGCCTCGCCTCTCTGCCATTCTCTCTTTCCATTGAATTGAAAAAAATATAATATTAAAAACACATAAAATATATTTTATGTAAAAATTGTAATTATTCATAAATGCGTAAAAACCGTTTTTAATTATTATTTTTTTTTTTAATATTTACGCAATTGTATTATAAAATGGAGTATAAGTTAAAAACAAAACTATACTGATAATGTTTATGATTTTATAAAATTTTTAAAATATAATTTACTACTAAATTTTTCAACTACTTTTTGCCTGAGCGAATGTGTTCCAGTTAAATAATAAAAAAATAGAAAATAAATAAATATTTATATATATACACTATTTATATTATATACATATAAAGTAATACAAATGATATTGTAGCGCAAGTTTTTAAATTTAAACCTATTATAAATACTTGATTATATTAACTAACCAAATGCTAAAAACACTGAAAAAAAATAACTAAACTGGCAAAGTTGAATAAAAATTCCTAACCGTCGTTTTATTGTTACAAAAAGTTAAATAATAATATTAAATAATGATTTTAAACGAAATGAATATAATTTTTGTAAATTTATTTACAAATAAACTAAAAATAAAAAATACTTAAAAATAAGTACGTAATGGTATATATGAGCATGTTCCCATGTGTTAATTGCTTACAGCAATTTTGTACAGTGTATTTCTTATAATGACTTTGCAATTCTGAACAGGAATAAATGTTGGAAAATTAGTAAGTAAGATAACATAAAAAATAATAATGAACAATTAATATATAAATAGTAAAAAATTTATATTAAAATAAGGCAAACAAAAACAAAAAAATTATTCAAAAAGCAACACAAATTAACTGAGTAAATTAATTACAGTGCAAAAAATTGTTAGACAAATTGTAATATTTTCAATTATTTTTTATAAAGTTTAAAATTTTTACTAGCCTAAGAAAAGAATAATAAAACGGTAAAACTGGAAAAATTATAAACTAAGATAAAGAAAAACTCGTCGTACTTAACAATATAAAAAAACACAAAAATTATACATTAAAAATTAATAATGATTAATAAATAATGAATATATATATATATATATATGTAACATATATGTATATATCAATAATCAAACTTTGTAAAAACTCAATCCCATGAAAGAATGTTTTTAAAGTAGTGTTAACAATTATTAAATATAGGAATTCAAGTATATAATGACATCCAATTGAATGACTAGAATGCTAGAATTTTTTCAAGTGTAACAGACTATTTAATTAAAAAACTATTTTTATATACTTGAAAAATAAATCTAGTTCAAAAAGCCATCTCTACTTAATATGGAGGCTGCCTGCACAAATCATTGTATTTTTTTAGTACCCTGACAATAAGTTCCATTGAATCTTTTGAAATCTTCTCTACACAGAATATAATACATATATGAAAAAAATTGAGAAATAATGGAGTTATTATTAGAATTATTAGAATAAATTTCGCAGGATTTTTTCACCAAACATAAAAAACTTTTAAATAATGCGGAAAGAATGTGACCATGTATCGTCTTTTTCACATAATGATCTATATAAATCTCAATTCTGCGATAGATACTTCAGACCACAAAATAATTTATGATAGTTCAGTATTTTAATAAGGCCCTGAAATATAAGTATTTAGTACTTTAATAATGGCCTGGAGTGAACTTTGTAACTTAAAAGTTTCAAGCAAAGATTTATAAGTTAATGAGCAGAACAAATAACAAATCATATTGAGGATGAAAGGTTATGGTAAATATTTCTCAGAACATGTTGTAAGGTAGCTGTTATAATGTAGTGAAAAAAATATTTACCTAAGTATTATTTATACAAAAGTGCACACGTTCTAAACAGTCATACAACAAGACTCTGTTTCGCTAATAAGAAAGTCAAATTTTTTGCTTTTCGTGATACGTGATACATACTTTCTATCGCGTTACATGTTGTAAATCTTATTTGAACAACACGTTGGACACCAGTGTGCACATTGAGTTAGATTTTTTGTATATACCATACGAAGGAAATTGAACTTTTCGACACAACCCGTATTTAATGCCCTCTCCTCCTCTCCCTACCTTAAAATTCCATGGAATTGGCCTACATAAGATACTGTAACGAGCGTCTGTAGTTTATCCAAATTAATCAATTAAACGAACAAAATTGAGTTTTGATAAAAAGTAAACCAAAAGATATGAGATTATCAACCTCTGTAGGATATATAATTTTACTGCTTTAACAGAGCCTAGTTTAAGTTAGTTTTCAAAGATTGTAATCTTATTGGATAGATTTTTCGAAATGAAATGTTAAGAACATAATACATTTTATTTCAAGTAACTACCTTAGTATAAATGCAACACACTAATATCTGTTCAGATTTTTTAGAGATTTTCAGTCCTGGGAATAGTATTATGATACTGTCGTCATTTCGTATGTTACTAATGTTTCCTTTTCTAATAGATTCTTAAAATTTAATAAAACATACTCCTAACTGTAAAAGTGGCTCCTAATTAGTGAAGAACATAATAGACCTTTTTAAAAGCATACTTTCATGGTATATAAATATACAAAAATGGTTCAATAAATCATATATTGAATTTTCATAAAAAGTTTAATTAAAGATATAGTAATCAAAATTAAAATATTTAAATTATATTATGTGCAAAACATGAATTATTTAAAAATAATTACTGTGGATCGCATACTTTAGTGAAAGTACCCGCCATTATTGCAAAAACAACAATTACACAAAATATTCAAATAATAAAAAAATAAGATTGCTACTTTCAGACTAAACATTCAAATTATACACAAAATTAAAAACTAAAATAATTATAATATAAAAATAATTATTAATAAAAGAACACGTACATAAAATATATACTTATAAAAAAATTAAAAATCGTAGATTTTCTTCTTTATACATATATAATTAGTATAATATTAATATTTTGTACTTAGATTTTTCGTTTAAAAATTAAAAACAAAAACAAAAACAAAAACGAAACATAAAACACAAACTTTTTAATAAACACAAATTGTCCATTTTCCAATTTTTTTTTAATTAATAAATAAATACACTTACAACTATATTATATTGTATAAACTTTATACAAACTTAATTTATTATTATTCTTTGTTTTGTATTACTTTTTTAAAAAATTTTATCTTTTTTATTGTTTTTAGAATTATAATCTTTGCTTAATTAATTAAGCACACTTAAACACATATTTGATATTTATAGTATTTTTAAAACTGTTCAATTATTTGCTGTATTTAAGTTAAGTTTTCAAAAATTAATTTAAGTAATAAAACTACTAGAGTTTTGTATGAAAACAGCATTTATAATTGTTTGTTTCTATTAACTAAATTTTAAGTTTAATTTAAAAACATATTATTTTATTTTAAAGTCATAAATTATACACAAAAAAAAAATAAAATAAAAATTTGATGATTTATATATGAAAAAAATTTAAGGTATTGGCTTACATGGAATTTTTTTTTAATATTTTTATAAATATTTAACGAATTGCTTTTCGAATTTTAATTAATTTTTAGCAAATATATATATAGTTTGCATGATGGTAAGAAGACCATACTGCCATATAAGCACTTATATCGTGTTCATTTGAATACATGGTGAAACTAGAATGCTATAATATTAAACAGTTTGCTTAGGATTGCAATCAAGAGTACGATATAAGGTTTAGACTATTCTTAATTGGACAACACCCTATTAGGAACAACGATTTCAATTCAGGATACCAACTATACTCGTATTGTGGTAAACTTTGGTTAATAAATTCATAGACTAACTGTGCGTCAACACTGACTAAGCCATGGCAAGTATTTTTACGTTCGAAGCAAATACGAGTATAATCTATAATAATATTTAGTATAATCTTACTATAGTCTAGCCAGCGTATGTGCTGGGTTTAAATATTGGTATAAAACTTAAAGTTTCATAATTGGCAACGTCACACAATAAATGCATTAAAATCAGTTTATCTATTTATGCACCCCATTTGTTTAGCTTTGGACTCACAGTTGGCACACAGTTTTGACAGTTCTTGAAAACTTAACCGAATCCACATCCGAATATAGTTTGCAAAACACAGAACCAGCCATTTGCATCTGTGCAACCAAATTTGTATTTCCCCAAAGATGACGTAAGCTTCATTTGTTTTTCTTTCATAAATCAAAAAGTTATCAATATCCTGCAATAATCAAAACACCATTTTCAAAATAGGACCCAATCACCTATTATTTTTTAATTTATGTGACAATAGTAATAAATGCCTTTCATCTCCTTGTTAACTCTTGTAAACCCTACATCGATAGGATAAAATTTTCAGTAAGTTTTCTCCGTAACTCCGCTGTGAATTGTTTTGGTTCACCGTTTTTAAGAGGGCATGCTTGGGCCACCTTCCATGCGAGTAATAAAACCGTAAGATAATTGGTCAGTGGATTTTGATCGTCGATAATGAACGATTACGATTCAGTCACTCTTACAATTAATTTTTTTCGGTAAAGATTTCTATCCACTTATAACGGTATTTGGCAACATCTTTCTAAAGGACATAATGGCGTTCTTAACTGCTACTCGTCTATGGAACTAAAGTGGCTGTGTCAGAATAATCCTCCAAGGTTACAGTGATGTGGTGACAAGTTTCCAACCCTTTTAAAATCTATTCATTCACCCATATTTAAAGTCATCTATGTCAATTTCTAACTGAATACTTTTTGCAAAGCTCCTGTAATATTTCGGATATCGTTTGGACTTTTAATACCCAACAACAGAGTCAGTTGTGATCATTACTGTAATATATTCACGTTATGTTTAAAATAAAGACTTTA